TGATATTTGACAGACACATACTTCTCCTTCTTCATTTTGTCCAGTGGCAGATGACAGCCTACTGTGTTGGAGCGTAAATCAGAGTTATCTAGGCCATATTCAATTATTTTGTCCAGTCTTGTCTCCCACAGATAATGTAGCATACTCCCTATTTCAATGATAAATACTACATCTATTTCCAAGCTCAGCTCTTCCACTGCTTTACCATTTCCCTTTTAACTATTCTCGTTCTCTAACATACTTATTGAAGTGAAGCATTACATGCTCCACTGACTCCTCTATATGGCAATTATTGCTTGCGCACAAGACCGATGGGTCCATACGGTTCTGTGTGGATTATCGTAGGGTGAATGCGGTGTCCAARTTTGATGCCTATCCAATGCCCCGGGTCGACGAACTCCTGGACCGGCTAGGCACRGCTCGCTTTTTCACGACACTGGATTTGACCAAGGGCTACTGGCAGATCCCCTTGTCTCCAGAGTCCAAGGAAAAAACGGCCTTCTCCACTCCGTACGGTTTGTACCAGTTTGTCRCACTTCCGTTCGGGTTGTTCGGGGCCCCAGCCACATTTCAACGCCTTATGGACCGGGTTCTGCGGCCACACTTTGCATATGCTGCGGCCTACTTGGATGATGTGATCATTTATAGTGAGACCTGGGAGCAGCATATGCGGCAGGTGTTCAAATTTCAAAGGTTTTATATGTCATCTGCACAACAGATACAGCGTACATGTTGGCAATGAAAATCGTAAATCCCAGGCACCTCAAGCAGCTCAACATGTAATAGTGTCAGAAGATAATAAAATAAGAGTAACTAAAAATACAAAATACCAATACACTAGTGCAAATAAACAAGAAAGTACAATGTCATTAACTAGTGCAAATAATAAAATAAACATTAAAAGGTGCCAATAAACATTACAATAAAACATTATAAGGAGCTAAGGTGAATATAAACATGTGCAGTCAGGATTTAGCAGCAGTTATGGGGAGGTATGAACAGATATGAATTATTGCATTCATTTATTTTTGTGTAGCTTAGAAATATGATGAATAGAAAGATGTAGCAGAATGAGAATTATTATAGATTAAATAAGTAAATATAGTTCTTTGTGTGTATGAATATTATAATGTTTAAATGAATATGTTGCTATAAACAGATGTAGTGACTTCCACAGAGCTCAGGAGTTCAGTCTTATAGCCTGTGGGATAAAACTGTCCCTGAGTCTTGAGGTCTTTGTCCGGATGCTGCGGTACCGTCTGACAGACGGCAGCAGACAGAAGAGTTTGTTGCTGGGGTGATGGGGGTCTTTTAATATCCTGTGATGTGCTGAGCAGTTTTCAAAGCATTTCATGATGATGGGGGTGAGTGCAACTGGGCGGTAGTCGTTGAGGCAGATGGTTTTTGTCTTTTTAGGGACTGGAATGATGGTGGACTCTTTGAGACAAGTGGGGACTATAGACTGGAGCAGTGACTTATTGAAGATGTCTGTGAACACCTCTGCCAGCTGAACTGCACACACCTTGAGAGCATGGCCGGGGATGCCGTCAGGCCCAGGAGCCCTATGTGTGTTGATCTTTTTTAGGGATCTGCATACATCTGCACTGGTTAAAACCAGGGGGGAGGGGCAGGGATCCTGAGCCTTCTGTAGCTCCACAGCCGGGGGTCTCTCAAAGCGTGCATAAAATGTGTTCAGTTCATCTGGAAGAGATGCACACACTTCCTCTGCACCACTTGTTCTTTTATAGTCTGTTATAGTTTTTAGTCCAGACCACATGTTTCTAGCGTTGGAGCCCTTGTAGTCAGACTCCACTTTGTTCTTATAATGTCTTTTAGCACTGCTAATAGCTAATAGATGCATTTGCTGATGTAGCAAATGACCGCGTCTCTGTGTGTGTTTATGTACTCCTCCTCAAACACACACCACTTCATGCTTAAGCAGTGTTGGAGAGCAGAGTCTGACTGCTCAGTCCAGCGCTGGACTGTCCGTGTCACAGGTCGGTCTCTCTTCAGTCTCTGCTGGTAAACGGGGAGCAGGAGAAGAGATACGTGGTCCGACTTGTCAAAGGGGGGGCGGAGGAGGGCTTTGTATCCATTGCGRAAAGGAGAGTAAACATGGTCCAGTGTATTTCCACCGCGCGTGGGGCAGCTGACGTGCTGATAGTATTTTGGCAGGACTTTCTTCATGTTGGCGTTGTTAAAATCCCCAGCCACAATAACTTCAGCCTCCGGCCTTGAAGTCTCTGTCCTGTTGATAACTCCGTACAGCTCCTCCAGTGCTGTGTTGTTGTCAGCGTACGGCGGCACATACACTGCTGTTAGAACCACAGATGTAAACTCCCTCGGCAGGTAAAAAGGCTGGCATCTGATCATGATGTGCTCTAAGCTGGGAGAACAGTCCGAAACAATTATCTCCACATCTGAGCACCAGTTGTTGTTTGTCATAAAGCAGACACCCCCTCCCTTACTCTTCCCTGAGTTTATTGTCCGGTCCTGGCGATGAATGGAGAATCCGTGCGGGACAATGGTGGCGTCCTGGATCGAGGGGTCAAGCCAAGTCTCCGTGAAAACCATAACGTTACAGTTCTTAATGTCCCGTTGAAACGCCATCCTGCTTCGGAGTTCATCCAGCTTATTATCCAGGGATAATAGAGTAGAGTAGAGGGTAGAGGAGGCCGGTTTTCACGTTTTCTCAGCCTGACTAGGACCCCGGCCCGGGATCCTCGCCGTCTTTGTCTCCTGCGCCCCCCAGGTAAAGCGCCAACAGGTAACCACGGATACTCGCCATTGTTGTTTTTTGCTGTTTGCCAGCGACCTGATGAGTAAAAGTTGTTCTCTATCATACTGAATGATAGGGCTCGCTTGGGCAGTTTGCATGTTAACAAAAAAATGTTTAAACAAACAGAAAAAGTACTACAGAACGACATTAGAAATGAGAAGTTGGTGAGGAGCTCGAGACACGGCAGCCATCCACGGCGCCATTCACAAAAGGTGGGGGCGGTGCTCGAGTCCCTGAGGCGGGCGGGGCTCACGGCCAACCCGAAGAAGTGTGCGGTGGGACGGAGGAAGGTACGGTATCTGAGGTTCCACTTGGGGGGCGGACAGGTACGGCCGCAAGTAGAGAAGACCGCAGCGGTTGCAGCCTGCCCGGCGCCCAAGATGAAAAAAGAGGTCAGGAAGTTTTTGGGGCTGGCCGGTTACTACAGACGCTTTATTCCAGCTTTTTCAGAGTTGACCAGCCCCCTGACCAACCTGACCCGAAAGGGTGCCTCAGATCCGGTCCAGTGGACGGAGCAGCGTCAGCTGGCGTTTGAGAGGGTTAAGCTAGCCCTCTGTGGTAAACCACTGCTGTACACTCCTAACTTTTCTCTCCCTTTTGTCCTGCAGACGGMCGCCTCRAACAGTGGGCTGGGGGCCGTTTTGTCCCAGGAGGTGGAGGGGACCGACCGCTCCGTAATGTATATTAGCAGGAAGCTGGTTCAGCGGGAGAAGAATTACAGTACGGTGGAAAAGGAGTGCCTCGCCATTCTGTGGGCGGTCGGGGCCCTCTGCTATTACCTCCTGGGGCGCCCTTTCACCCTCTGGTCGTACCATGCCCCGCTCCAGTGGCTCCACCGCATGAAGGATGCCAACGCGCRGATCACTCGCTGGTATCTGGCTTTGCAGCCATTCAACTTCCAAGTGATCCACAGGCCAGGTACCCGGATGGTCATGACCAACTTCCTCTCCCGCTTGGCGGAGGGGGGGGGGGTGTGTTTGCGGCCGGCGGGATCCCGGCCTGAGTCGGGCGGTGGGGGTATGTGGCGGTGGGTGGTATGTGGCGGTGGGGTATGGTTAGGGTGCCAACTGCTGGACAACAGGGAGGAGTGGCTCAGCCAGTGATCCGACAGCTGCGCAGAATCAGGTGATCAGGCAATCAATAAGAGCGTGCTTGTAACCTGGTTCTGCTCTATCTCTTGTAGGAGGCTGGCGTCCTGAGACCAGAGCAGCGGACAGATGTGTTTGTGGATATATGTGTGTGTGGGTTGAGAGACCTGTGTCAATATATGTGTGTGGTTGCCAGGAGCGGCAACCTGAATAAAGACATTGAAACGCCATTCTCTCCTCCCGTACTTTCCCGGAGTGGGCCGAGTAATCCCACACCAGGTAATCTTGCCCCCAACCGCCCAGCAAGCAGCGTGCTTGAACACGTGCTCTTGCTGTGTTACGACTTACGACACACCCACGTGAAGTTCCATACTGAGGAGGAAAAGGGGGGATGATAAACTATTGAGTAAAAGACGAATGCATTTCCATCATAATGGAACGGAGTGTATGCCTTCTTACATCACAAGCGAAGACTGACCTGTATTTCATACTTAAATCCACAGGCTTGTGTGCACTAATGTTATAATCTACATTACAATTAGTAAAATATTTTTTGTAATATACAAACTCGGGGGAATGGTTCCTTCAATTGTTAAATGAAATGCTTACCAATAAATTTGTGTTAACTGACATACATTTACATTTGTAGAAAACCTGCTATATTTGTATCCTGTGTTTTGTGGGAGCCTACACGTGGACTTTATGATGTCAGTTCTGCACCCGTCCTCTAGACGTCAATAAGCACTATGACAGAACCTGGAATGGGCAGGAAATAACCGTTTCTGCCTTCGGAAATAGAGCAGTACTTAGTTTTGTGGTACTTTAGTGAAAGAGGTTCAGAAAAACAATGTGGGTTATGATTCATTTGTTTGACACACAGCCTGTAAATCACAAAATTAACTACATACTTGAAAAGAGTCTGACTGGTGTTTTTGTTGGTTACAGCACAATAACATAACTGCCAAATATGAAAAGCGATACAAAAGCAGAATTGCGTTTGCGTCCATTTGGGCAAATATGGGCTCCGTTACCCAAAAAGCAAAAACTGAAAAAAAGTGAATTGTGTATTTCTTAACAACAAATCCCATGTCACGGACTACATTTCACATTGTGCTATTCAAAACAAACACCGTTTTTATTTTGAAGGGCTTGACCGGAACACTTGTATGCATTGTAGCTGAAGTTACCCCCTCTCTTCGTCGACCTATTGTTGAGCAGGTATCTGGTGCTTCTCGACCAGAGGCGAAGGGGACACAACAACATGTGGGCCTTTTTCTACCCATGGTTTGAATTGTGACATAGTCACGCGGACACATGGATAGTGTTGGTGGAGACAACTGGCCAAGACGCAGAAGGACCGCGCGAGTCGTTTGCAGGCAGCAAAAGGGAGCACGGGTGGACAAGGGTGGTGTGCTGCGCTGTGTGAGCGTGGGAAATACGGAAGACCATGACATGGAGGAGGACACGGGCCCCTTCAAGCAGAATAGCCTGGAGCGGAGGGTCATGACGCCTCGCTACAGTCTTTTGCGAGAGGTAGGGAGGGGTACATACGGCGTCGTGTACGAAGCCGTGGCCCGGAGGTCCGGTGCTAAAGTTGCTGTGAAGAAACTGCGGTGCGACGCGCCGGAAAACGTGGAACTCGCTTTGCAGGAGTTCTGGGCTCTAGCAAGTCTGGAGAAAAGGCATGAGAACGTGGTTCAGCTGGAAGAGTGTGTGCTACAGAGGAACGGTATGGCCCAGAAAATGAGTCACGGGAACAAACTGTCCAAACAGTACCTGCATCTGGTAGAGACTTCACTAAAAGGTCAGTATGGTTTTCCAACGTTACCTGTTTCAGTCACCACGACTGTGAGTAGATCAGAGCTGCTTCCCCCATCATTGAATGAAAGAAGTTGCTGTTCGGTATTTTGTTCTGGCATATAGTTGAAGCGCTTACCTTATATATGCAACGTAATAAAACAACCGAGGTCCGATTTAGACACTGGTTGACTGTTTACATGGTCACATATATCAGTGTCATTCATAGGGTCTTTCCTAAAATATACAATGGCTGGTGCCAATCAATCATCGGTTTATGTGGGTGTCTTATAAGTAAACTCAGAGGTACTTCTATGTAAAGCCCAGATGAGTCTGTCTGGAACTTGTCATTCTGCTGGTTCTGCCTTTTATCTTGTAACATACCTATATTTACACCTGCAATGTATAGTTTGTGTGGCGATCTTTGTTTTGTGAATTATTCTTTCAACTAGACTTGTTGTTGTCGCCATGACGCTGACTCGTTGGGGGATGGGCACATTTAAGGCTCACACTCAAGATGGAGTCTTCTGTGTGGGTTTGGTTTAGAGGTGTTCTCTACATTGTCCTGACAACTACTGCACTTCTGCAGCATCCCCCACATCAACTATCTTTCTTACTTTTCGCCTGACCTCATATGCTCTGCTTCTTCCCTTGTGCTTTTCTATTGTAGTGTTCATTCATAATGTATCATGATATATCATATCAAAAATAGTTATTTGTTACTATCACTTCCAATCCACAAATGGGTAATTGTTTCTCTTCAGTGTGCAGCTGTGTGCAGGTGGCTGTAGCAGTGCAAGCAGTGAGACAAATTATTTAGTTAATTGGTGTTGAAATGTACCACTTCTGTAGCTGGTGGCCTTGTAAATGTTAAGATTAAGATTAGTTTTATTGTCATGTTGCATGCACAAGTTACACACAATTGAAATTTACCTTGCTCCCTCAGATCACACACACACACAACACAACACATGCATTACAGGGCAGCCATTATACGGCGCTCATAGAGCAGTCGGGGGTTCGATGCCTTGCTCAGGTGCACCTCGGCTGCTTGGTCCAGCGGGGGACTCGAACCGGCGACTCTCCGGTTCCCAAGACGGCTCTTCCTGGACTGCGCCACCGCCCTCCAGAGTTTAATATCTCCTGTTTAATAATTTCTTTGTAGAAAAAAAATGTTATCTATCCATGTGTAATTTCATTTCACATTTGTGATTAACTGGTTTGTTTCTTTTTCAGGTGAGAGAGTGCTCAGTCCTCCAGAGGAGCCTTGTTATCTTTGGTTCGTCATGGAGTTCTGCGAAGGTGGTGACCTCAACCAGTTCATCTTGTCTCGGCAGCCTGACCCACAAACTAATAATAGCTTCATGCTTCAGTTGACCAGTGCCGTGGCTTTCCTGCATGAAAATAATATTGTCCATAGAGATCTTAAACCTGATAACATCCTCATCTCAGAGAAGTCAGGGACTCCGGTCCTCAAGGTGGCAGACTTTGGCTTGAGTAAAGTTTGTGCTGGTTTGGGTAACACCAATGAGAGCAATGAAAGTGAAGATAAGAACAAAAACATCAATGTCAACAAGTTTTGGTTGTCATCAGCATGTGGCTCAGACTTCTATATGGCTCCAGAAGTGTGGGAGGGCCACTACACAGCCAAGGCGGACATATTTGCCATAGGTATCATCATCTGGGCAATGTTGGAGAGAATAACTTTCATTGATGCAGAGTCTAAGCGGGAATTGCTTGGAACATATGTAAGACAAGGAGCAGACATTGTACCAGTGGGTGAGGCATTGCTAGAGAATCCAAAGATGGTACTGAGCATCCCACAGAAACGCAGGTCATGCATGTCTGATGGGGTGAAAAAGCTGCTTCAGGAAATGCTCGCCGTTAATCCTCAGGACCGGCCTGATGCTTTTGAGCTGCAAGCCAGAATGGATCAGGTTATGTGTGCCGCTTGACCCTCAACCAGGATGTTTTACAGGTACATGTTTTTATTTTGTTTCTCTGACCTTTTTGATGAGTTGTCTGTTGAGCTATCTGCCTGTGTGGTGTGCCGAAATCTGATCACAGATAGATGAAGAAGAAAGGCATTAAAACCAGCGTAAGGAGAGTACTTACATATTCTACCATTACTGACAATAACTCCTCAATTCATTTGTCACTGCTGCTCCCTTTATCTCTATCAGACATTTTCTCATGAGTACTATAAACATTGACACGTCTTCATTATGTGGCAAACTGCATTTACACTTATGTACCAGGGGTGGGTGCAATTTGCTTACTGTTTCGGGCTGCTGGGGGCATATATTGGCTGTATGTCTTTAGTGTGATGTTCTTGTGTGAGGCAGGGCTGGGGTAATGAAACAAAGATTCATGGGATGTGCGGAGATTGAGGAGTGCCCCTGTCTGCTCTTCAGCCAGTTGAAGAGCTTCTCCTGCAATGCCCAATGTAAAGATTCATGCTCATCTGTTTAGCCAAAAACAGTAATTTACATGCTTGCAGAAAAAGGTGAACATTTGCATATACTGAATTTATGGGTGCAGACTTGGCGCCAATTCAGAAAGAGGGGGCTGGTCTAATTCCATGAGCTCCCCATGAGCTCATGCGTACCTAGCAGTTCCATCTGAGCATTAACATGTTTTCAGAGATTGACATCCCCTAAAAATTAGCTGTGGGGACATTTACATCTACACTGGTACCTAGAGATTCAAATGTTCAAAAACACTCAAGTGAGGTTTTCTTGACATGTCCCCTCTTAACTGTAACAGCATCTGGATGACATCTTTCAAAAATTTCAGTCCTCCGAGGAGCTTGAATAAAACCATTTAGTTAAAAATTGTTTCAAAATTGTATCAGTTGATCTCGTCCTTAATTTGATCATTCTTGTGAACATGTGAAAACTTGTGTCTTATGAACAGTTAAGTGATGACACATTCAAGATGTTAGCATGCACATTAGAAGTGGATTACTCCAAGATGTCAGGTTTTGAAGGTAACTAGACAGTGTTTACATGCGCTGTAGTAATCAGGTTATATATTCGGATTTCTCCCCAACCATATTACACAAGAGGATGCTATCTGATTTTGTTTTTTCTCAGCCATTCCAATAAGAGACACTTGGTAAATGGTTTGTATTTATATAGTGCTTTTCTAGTCTTGATGTTTTCTAGTCTTGATGACCACTCAAAGCGCTTTACAATACAGTTTGCCATTTACCCATTCACATACACATTCATACAGTGCATCTACTAGCAGCACTTTTTTCTGTTCTATGAGGGTTAAGATTCAGCATCTTGCCCAAGGAAACTTCAGGCAATATAGCATGACTGGGGATTGAACTGCCGACCTTCTGGTTGGATGACCGCTCTACCTCTCAGCCACAGCTCATCTTCTGTCTACCAGGTCTCACATCAACTCTCTCAATAACTCTTATTTTTCTCTTGTCTCTGCAGACATGTGTTGCTACCTGGAAATTCTACAGCAGTGACGGTCTCCCTGTGCTGATCTAAAGTCTGAAAATAAAGGAGAAGCAAAGGCAGTGAGAATGAGAATGGCACCAAGAATGAGAACTATATATAATAAATAAATCGTTTTAAGAATTATTTTCCTCATGAAAGAAACAATGAGATTGCATCTGAATTCACTGTGTCATGTTGAACATGGCAGATGACACTGGAGAGAGTCATTGCGACTGAAGAAAAAACACATTTCTGTTCAACAAATCTGATTTATAAAGACGTTAACAGGAATAAGGTCATGTGTGATGGAAAGGGGCTGATGCAATGAGCTGGTGGTGTTTTGTTTATAACATGTTTGAAGCTGGGACACAGCTGGAGCATGCACCAGGTGCTCACTGCAGCATTTCACAGATCATCATCATCCTGTTGTGAAGATGCTCACATTGTAATCTTTGTTGCTATCTTAGTGTTGGCAGCCTTGAAACCTGCAGTTTTGATGCTGAATGGGAATATTTTGTTTACAACTAGGCCATCTGTCAGTTCAGATAGATTGTCCTGCCTATAATATTCTTTATTAATATTCTAATAAAGTGAAGCATTGCATCTACTAGTAGAATACTTAATTAATGTGATGTAGCCACATCATCTTTTAGACATATGGAGACATTCCCATCAGAAAACAGGGCAGTGGTACTGCATTGACTCAGAAGCAGCACAGTGACTCTAAAGCAAAGCCAGTGTATATGTTTGTGTGTTAACAGGGATATGGGCCTCCACACGGCTAGCACTTTAATAAAACTACAGGAAACCATCTTGTTTAGTTTCATTTTACCTATTAAGAAATTCTAGAAATTTAGATAAGAAATCTGGTTTGTGTTTGATGGTATATATGCTGACAGTAGCGGTTTTGTTTTAGTGGATTTCCTGTTGTTACAACAGAAATCTGGTAAGCATCAGTACAATGTGTGGCCCCAGAAAGATTTGACAGTTTTACCTGATGACAACAGAAAACACAGTCCCTTTTCCAGTTAAAATGTCTCCAGTTACCTTGGTTTACAATTAGGGATGCTACGAATGAATCATTGCCAGTTCAAACAAGCGAATAGTTTGTATAAAACCCTCTGTCATAGTATATGTCATTTTAGGTAAGACTATTTTAAATTTTCAAAAATCAAAGAAGACAAAAAATAACTAAATTGAATATTGTCATAAAAATAACTTCAGTTCATAGATTCACAGCATTGCCTTCAATTTCTGGATGCCACCTATACATTTAAATTAAATGTATAGTTACCTTGTTATAAACTGTATGGCAGAATGTGTAATGTCTCACTCTCTTCTAATATCACATATATTCTTTTCTGACATAAATGTGAATACATCTGTTATTAATAGACTTTGAAAGTATAAACATCCTAAACTAGAAGCCTGATAGGGTGGATTATTGAAGTAGTATACCTGACAGACATTCCCAATTTCATTTAAGCCCAATTCCTTGCTGTTGACCAGATACCAAGTAGATTCTGGTGGCCTGTCATATAAATGACACTTAAAGTTTTGCTCCAGTTTGTTAAACCTGTGGTGCCTTGAAACTGACTGAGAGGGACATTTTCCAGGGTATATGGATTTATTGCCCCCCGATCTCCAAAACAAGATGCATATCAACAGAGTTTTACTGTTTTTCTGTGGCCCATTTATTTTATGATTGAAATCAGGGTAGTAAAAAGAAATAAAAGATCCAGTGTGTAAGATTTAGGTGAAAGGGATCTATCGACAGAAATTTAATGTAGAATAATCCTCATGACGTTTTCACTAGTTCCTTTCATCCCAATTGTATGAATTGTAGTTTTCTTTACCCCAGAAAAGGCCCTTTATATTTAAATACTTTATATTTACATCAAGGGGGTCCTCTCTATGGAGGCCGCCATGATTTTTACATTAGTTCAGACTGGACAAACTAAACACCTTTTGAGTTTTTATGACAATTAAAGGATACCACAGTTTCTTTATCATGTTTGGAAGGAGAGGGTGAGGTGAGGGGTGTTCAGCTACAACATGCAATTTCAACACTAGATATCACAAAATTCTACACACTGTACCTTTAAGACTTTACGCTGGAACAAGTGACATTTATGTGAAATAAGTAGAGCCATATATTTATTTCACCATGATAGCTTCTAAACTGTTATGAACAGGATATGATTTTTGTTTTCAATATGTGTTGCCTGTGATCAAAAATATGATGTGAAAGACAAGTTTCAAAGCATTGTTTGCATATTTATAAAATTAACTGTAGCTGAATGTTGTAAATCAGTAGATTGTTTGTTTGAAGTCTGAGGACTTCTTCATCTGAATGAAAAAGTGTGTCATAGAGTGTGTCATGTTGAATTCAGCTGGGACCCTAAATCATTTCTGTCTGTTCTACCTCATTTTTCTACACATTTTCTTTACTAAGACATTGTTTAATTTTTCCAACAAAGACATTATGAATGTTAGAAATGAAACTGGCTACTGCCTTTTTGTTTGATTTCATTTCAGCATCAGTTGGGTGTGTGCAGTTTTCCTTTTTTGTGTGTTTATAAAGTATTGGATTGTATAAGTGCCACAGCTGATTGATTGTTTCTTTCTGTTTTATTGCTTTATTGTGAGAAAATAAGTTCACACGTTTAAAGATGTGTACACATCTCAAACTCAACTCAGGCCATGATTTACTTTGGTTAACTGGCCACCATCTTAGTGTCACTACTGTATGAATATTTTAGCTGGGTTGAAATATTTATTTTGAACTAAATATGAACCCATGGTGATGGACTGTTAAGATTTTGTTCAGATTTCAAAGGATTTGCTTTTATTTGACTTAAGTCTGCAATCCAGGTCTGGATGATTTTATTATAGTCATTTGCTCATCCTATCTCAACAGAATATACAGACCTTGGTTCTACACATAATTAAAACCAATTATATGAATGAAAACTTTACTTCTTACATACAGAGCTGTGTTTCAATAAAGGTTGAAAGTACCTCTCACCTGTATACATGTGAAATATTTGTAATGTGGAGGAGATATGGGAAAGAAATCAGTCAATCGTGTGTTGAAGAATTTAGAGGCATGTTGTTTCCATGATTGTTACCTGTGTGTGTCTTTTCTACCTCGTGCCTACATGATGTGGACATGCAGGATTAACAGAGAGGAAGTTGATACTGAACACTAGGTAACATTTAACAGCAACCTGATTGGCTGTTGCCATTGTGCTGTAAGAAGTACAGCTGTAGATTTACTCTTGTGTAGTTTAAAACTGATCAAATTTTCTAACCATACAGTTACTGTCAATAAATCTCATGAAAACCCATAACCAAATGTCTGTGAAGATTCAGGTCATATATTCAGGAGCTGTATAGGCATACATAGGCAAATTGACTTGCTTGTGTTTCATGAAGATGTTCCACCTCTGAATCAAAAGGCTTCTTCAATTCTAATTGAAAAATGGGGGGTTTCGTGTATTTAACCTCTGCGGATCTGTAAAGTACACAAAACACTTCCTGTTATAGACACATGGGTAGTATAGATTGTGTGTTACAGTAATTACATAATGCATTACTATATTACACATGACTGCACATGCCAGCTTACACTCACTATTAAAAGGGACAACTGTAATCAAAACGTCAATATAGATACAAAAGAGACCTATTAATGTAAGACATGTATTTTTTATTTTAAAGCTGTATTTATTGATTTCCCACATACAACAGACTTCTGTACCAATATTATAGACACACCATCACCCCTTAAACCCCTGCCAACTACAACATCAATACTTTAGTTATACCAATATCATAACAACAGTGCAACAGTATAACACCAAGTTAGTTAAACTTCAGGGATATCAATCTGTCTATTTAAAAAGCACGAGTGATTGTGAATAAATTCCCCCTGCTTTGGTGCAGATGAAAGTGACAGCACAGAAACAGCACTCCCAAAAGTCACTAATGACCTTTTCATGGCATCGGATGATGGACTTGTCTCTATACTCTGTTGGATCTTAGTGCAGCATTGGACACCATAGATCATAAGATTCTGCTACAGAGACTGAAACAACATGCAGGAATCAAAGGAATGGCACTAGACTGGTTTAAATCATATATATCAGATAGATTTAAATTTGTTAATGTCAACAATGACCCCTCCATGCACATGCAAGTTARTCATGGAGTTCCACAAGGTTCTGTCCTTGGACTGATACTCTTCATATGCTCCCTTAGGCAACATCATCAGAAAGCATCACATTTCACGTCAGTTTGGCCTCCAGCTCCACTGTGAGGAACCTTGGAGTTATATTTGACCAGGACATGTCATTTGACCCACATATAAAACAAGACAGCTTTCTTCCATGTGTGCAATATTGTGAAAATTAGAAATATCCTGTCTCAGAAGGATGCTGAGAAACTAGTCCACGCATTTGTTACCTCTAGACTGGATAAATGTAACTCTTTATTATCAGGATGTCCCAGGGGGTCTGTGAAAAGACTCCAGTTGGTCTATAATGCTGCAGCACGAGTGCTAGTTTTTCAGCATGAAGGAGGTATGGGCCATACCTCCTCCATGTCCCCTTTGGTGCCGCCATGGCACCAAAATTTAACAGGTTCTTCCCTGACCAGGTTCTTCCCTGACCATGTTCACACACTTCTATTAAATTTCATGGTAATCCCTGCATTTGTTTTTGTGTAATCTTGCTTACAAACAAACAAACACAAAGGTGGAGGTAATAATACAACTGTAAACAGACATCACCATGAGCTTCATCAGCAGTTTGAATGGAGATTGTGGTTTAAGTAAAGGTTGAGTCATTATATGAGCAAAAAGCTGAAGGGACTTTAATAGAATTCCATAAAAATCCCTTTCACATTTTATGAGATAAAGCGTTTTTCAACATTGGAGCTATCAAGTCTTCTAAAGTAGTTGCTCAATCTTTACCAGCTGCAACATGATAACAATGTATTTATTAATGGATCGCTTCTCATACTGATATATATAACATTCATTATTTTGAGATGGACCATTATCAATAATGAGATAAATACATTTAAGGTTTTTGAGGTATATTCATATTTTGTTATCAATTTTTATAATTATGTAATTTATTCTGGTAAGCCTTTGAATACTTGACTTGCTACTTTTTCAAAATGTGGTGTTGCTACTTTTACTTTTGTAAAAGATGTTTTCAGAAAACTTCTGAATATGGTTGAAAGCTAAGCAAGGAGTAATTGGAGCTTGAGTTGAGAGGATGACCAGGGCAACAATATGAAATGAAATCAAAGTTTTAGTTTCCTGTTGCAGTTCGCACCAAATGAAAATGACTGATAGAGACAGACTACAATGCAAAAAAACATTTATCATTAGACAAATCAAGTGAAAAATGAAAAACAACAATATCACTTTATGCTACAATATTTAGCGAGTGAAGCTTTGTATCACACTGTCCAGGATTGACTGGACAAGTTTGTCTCTGGTGGAGCGGCTGAAGCTGAATTCACGGAGCAGTGAGGGCAGAGGTTTGGAGACCTTGTCCTCAACTGCGTTGGTCAGGCTAACAGCCAGAACACTGAGGTGCTGGGTTGGCATGTTCAGGCAGGTGCCTTCAGGAGGCAGCCAGAAGCCCTGAAGTACCTTAGGAACCTACTCCAGCACCACCTCTTGTGGGCCCAGGTGTTTGGAGGTGAGGGCTGCTGATGCCACTCCTTCAGGATGTTGGAGAATTTCTGAGCCAAACTGATGATCCCTGGATTACTGTAGGTTACAGTCATTGAAAG